TTTTTTTTTTTTTTTTTTTTTTTTGCCAGATTCGATTTGAGCTAAGGTCCCCTTTTCACTCTAGCATGTGCCTAGATTAAAGTGGGGCACACCCCACCTCCAGCATATGGATAGTACTCAAGCCCTTTTAAATTTTTCATTAAATTGAAATAATTCAGGTTGTAATCAATACAAATTTATCATAACTTGAGTTGACCAAAAATGTATTTTGGCCAATGAACAATTTGCTAAAAACACCCACTGCATGGCTTCCTATAAACTATGTTACAAGAGTTTTGCCTCAAAGTTAAGAATAAAAGCTAATTTTGAAAACTTATTTGTGGGGAGGCGAGAAGCTTGGAAAAGGAGAGAGAATTCATAACACTGTAGCGCGGAAGTTATTACACTAAGCTTTTGGTTGCTAATCAAAACATGTATTATCATACCGGCAGATGCAACAATATTAGCTAATACCAATAAGCTGTTACATCTGCATGATTCTGGAGTGCAGTGGTTTCCAACCTTTTTTTATACTGCGGACTGGCAAACTCACTCAAGAATTTTGGCGGACCAGGGTATAGAAACAATTAAATTTACAGATTTAAATTTAATTTATGTGGCAGGGGAGGAGGGAAAGAGGTTGTGAGGTACATCAGGAACATCATCGATAGAGGAGACAATAACTAAAAGTCATACATACGCATCACTAGCTGGCTAACATTAGCTAGCTAGCTGCCGAGGATACAAGGAGACAAGCCAGACATCAGTAGCTAGGGCAGTCTCGCTGATACAGAAGTGACTAGCTACAGTTACCACGGTCCAATTTCAAAAGCTCAAGTCACAGTCATTGGCCAAGCGAGGATATTCTCACCCAGCCAATCAGCATGATGTGGGAGTGGCCTGGGCATACAACTGTTGCTAGCAGTGGTTAAAGCTCATGCCACGACCTGGCAGCAAACCCTTTGGGCCACGCCCTGGTGGTTGGGAACCTCTGCTGTAGTGGCACAAGGAAAGCAAAACTGCTTCATCTTTAACCCTGCTTCATTCAAGGTCAAAGTTCACACAATTTAGCTCACAGCTGCATGCCTACTCAATCTGGAATTCTGCAGAAACTGCTAAATCAACTTAAAACATTTAATAAAAAGTGCTGGCACCCTAGTGGGAGCCAGTAAACCTTGCTGCTGCTGCTGTGGCAGCCCACCCTGGGGGCTGGGGTGGTGTGGCACCAGCTGGTGGGACAACACAAAGGGCAGCAGACAAGATGGTGCCCCCCCTGCCAGGCTTCTCTGCCAGCCAACCAGCACTGAGGGGCCGGGTAGCCAGAGCACATTCAGGAAACGTCTCCAGAATGTGCTATTTATGCCGCAACCAGCCTGTGAAAATTTAGTTTCTCTGTGATTTAGGTAGACCCCTACTTATAACACAATGGCTCAGAAAGATACAACAGTTACAGTGCAACAGCCAATGTGCACACCAGAGGACAAAGCTTCCCCTCCCCTTTAGAACAGCTGAAACATATGCTTTCCATATTCTTAGCCAGTAGCAACAGACCCATCCTAAATGACATCCAGATTACGGACACTTCACACAATGATTTTTTTTTTTAATTTAACATTTTAGTTCTTCATTTATAGATAGCTCAGGCTATGAAGTACAAGCTGAAAGTTGGACTTTTTAAAACTTTTTTTTTTTTGGTTTTGTTGTAAGATTTGTTTAAAGGTTAAAAATTAACCTGCCTCAATCTATCCAACCTTTAACAGAACGGAGATGTGGCTTCAGGTAGCTGTGCATACCAGGCCATAAGACAAACAGAACAAAAACTAGCTGATAACTATTAAGACACTGGCAACATACAATATTAACATTAGAGATTTTATGTATGGAAATGCAGACTTAATATGGAGACTTGGCCTTTTTCATCTCCAATTGTGTTTACACACTGGGAATTGTACAGTATGTATTGCAATGTTTGCAGGTATTCAAACGTGGCAAGTTATCAAAGATAGATTTTCAGCCTTCAATCTGCATTTCCTTCCTTATATTGATTTCGAACGGGACCCCTCTTATGCAAACATTTCATTTGCTTTACGCTGATGTGTTTCTTTGCTCTCTTTAGACTATTAACTTGACTTTCTGTTCTCCATTCCTCTCTGAAAACACCTTCAGACCTCAAAAATAAAGTCAATTGCTGATGGTCCTTTTGATTTTGCTGCTTCTTCTACAGTGTCTCCTCCCTTCCACCACAAACCTGTTTCATTCCCCAATTTAATTACTATTAATACTATGGACAGAATGTGTTCCTGGGAATTTCTAGTCCTTAAACCTCCACTATACCTCCTGTTCTTTCCCAGCATGGCTAAAACTCATACTTCTCAATGAAACACAAGTAGACTAAAGGGTAAGAAGGAAAAATGACATTTTCCCTACAAATCCATCAGAAGTGATTTCCACTACAGCTAATGAAAGAATGAAGTGGGAGCAGAAAGAAAGGATACAATACTTCTGAGGAGGTCAGTCTACATTTTCAGCTCCCCCACATGAATTCTAAAACTTTAAAATGGGGACTTTCGGGGCCTGTAAATGTAACAGTTGTATAGTCAACAAACCCTTCCGCAGGTTTAGGTAATATGGTGAAAAGACCCCAAAAAACCCAGATAAATGCATCTACTTTCTGCTAGGTTTAACATTAGTCCAACTGAACTAGTGATTTTTGTTTGGCATGTCTCTAACTCTTCCTCACATTGTGTCTGTTCTTTTTAAGCTGTTGCCCACATTCCCTCACAGCGGCCTTCAAAATCTATCCTTTTCTTGTTTTGATCAGGAAGAACCTGTGGATTCCCTGATCCCAGGTTGAGCTTACAGGGCCAGCAGGTAAAAAAAAGTTAACTTTTATTTGCAAACTGAGCACACTGTTGTGATAAGTGTTCTCAGTTTTAGGTAGCGTTGGAGTGATGTTGTAGCTGTGATGGTTCAGGAAGTGAGGTAAGGATTTTTGTGGGTAATATATTTTACTGGACCAGTGACATGGCTGTAATAAACTTAGACAAACTTTCAAATGTAGTGCATTCATATCACCCACAAAAATCCATGCCACTTTTACTTTCCAGAGAACCGCAAACTAATGTAATTAAGAGTACTGAAGATTTTAAGGTCAGGCCCAACAAATTTTGTCAGTTCTCCTTGCACACCTCACCTGAAATGCAAGTGTTTAGCAAAAACAGCTTTAAAAAGGTATGAAACAAGGTGCCAACAGTAATTTGCACAGGCCAAATGTTTTTCCAGAAAAGTTTGCTAACAAATCAAGTGTATACTTCTCCTATTTCAGTTTTGGATATAAAACAATTCTGTAAGGCTTTAATTTAAACAAAATGAGAAAAATCAAACTCATTTTCACTTGTAATAAACCACAATGAACATTATGAGTAAACAAACATTTGAGGTAAAGAAAAAGGAGAAAAAAAGAAGAAAGAATTATTTGGAAGAAGCCCTTTTGGAGCTCTTGCTCTAGAGCACTGTGGACTAAACATAAAGTGAATTCACAACTATTATGAAACCTGACATGTTTTAATGGTTCCGTGTCAGTACAAAAGAAACCTACTGTGATGCAGAATTTTCATTTAGCCAAAAAATGGGGTAGTAAGTAATAAGAATGCCAGTATTATCTGTAAATGATACAAAGATAGAAAGCATCAACTACATGTGTGTGCATGCACTATGAATTAGTAGTGCACCCATAAAGATTTTTTTGGTTGATACTGACGGCCAATACCGATCTGATTGCCGATATGCAACTTGGAGAGCAGCTTCCAGCTGGTAAGTGTGGGAGGGAAGGAGCATGGGGAGAGGAGGAGATGGAAGCCCCCATAGTGAGGGACAGAACGGGGCTGGTGCAGGGGTAAGCACTGCCCAGCTGGGGTGGGGCACAGGATGGAGCTGCGAATGGCTTGTCAGGGGTAACACAGTGGAGGGGGAGATCTCTGTGCTAAATGCACCCTGGGGGAGACATGGGGGGGCATGTGTCCCCCAGATTTGTGCATGCAGCGAAGGCAGGCTGCCTGATGTGGCTCTTCCCAGTGAGGGGGGGGCAGGAGGGGTTGCCCTAAGGCTACACTCAGGATAGGTGGGGGCATGAGGGGGCAGTTTACAGAGTGTGCTACAGCCATCCTAAAATTTGCCATAGCTACCCTGTAGCCCCTGTCTCAGCACAGATTCCCTCCCCACTCCCCACCCCCCGCACTCCC